AACCTGCCACCAAGTTCGTGGAGAAGGAGGGGAGGTGGAGACCCGACAGTGTGCCCGACGGGACCGCAGGACAGGGAAGGACAGTGGAGGAGGTCGCAAGGACCGGACCTCCAGAGGGGTCAGCGAGGGAGACAGCAACTGGCCGAGCAAGGGGCTCAAGGGCAGTGCGGTCACGAAAGAAACAGCAAGAGGCGCCTGAATCCAGTGTGAAGGTGTGCAGTGCTGCAGTTGACACAGTACTAGGGGGGGCAGACGTACACGCACCTAGAGCAGCAGCCTCACCAGCACCTGGGGTAGCAGACACGCGAGTACCTGGAGCGGCAGACGCACTAGTCCTAATGCCCGGGTCGGGCGGGACACTCAGGTACTCAGCACCCTCTCCACTAGTAGACATCACATACATGGCAGTGAGAATAGCATCAAAGTCTAGAGCATAAATATCAATCCCCTTCTTCAGGAGATCAACCCAGCGGGGCAGCTCAGTGGCCTGAGGGAACTAAACACGCCAAGTGTCGTTCAGACGAGCGAAGCAACGCTGTGTGGCGTGCGGTCCCCCACACGGCTGGCCAGTGCGGTCACGAGTGCGAATGACGTACGTGCAGCTAAAGCCACCCCCCCCCCCCCCCCCGTGCTGAGAGTACCACTCACGGACCTCCTGGGGCGACAGAGTGTGCTGCTGGCCTTGGCCACCGCCAGTGCCTCCACGACCACCACCGCCGCTACCACCTCCTCGACCACCCCAACCCCGGCCGCTGCCTCGTCCACTGCCACCCCCACCACCTCCTCCGCCCCGGCCACCTCCCCCGCCGCTGCCGCCACCCCCCCCACTGCTGCCACCTCCCCCACCCGCGCCACCCCCCTCGCCACCACCACCTCCCCCACCACCGCCACCCCCGCTGTCACCACCACCGCCCTTGCCCCCCTTGCCCTTGCCGCTGCGGCGCCCACTCGAAGCAGACGCAGTCCCGACCTTCTCAGCACCAAGGAGGTCGACAGCAGCAGCAGAGGCGACAGAGGGAAGAAGGGGGGAGGGAGAACACCCCTCAAAGAACGGGGTACGGGGGTCACCGCGAGAGGCACCTACAGCGACTATGCTAGCCTTAGCTGCAAGCAGTTCCTTCTCGAGGAGGGCAATGGTGAGCTCGGTGGGGCAGCGAGCTAGGAAGTGGTGCCTGACTGAGCGCAGAGTGTCAGGGAGGCGCGTGACTAGGTGGTAGAGAGTGAGCCAGAGCGGGGGTGAACTCATCAAGCATAGCGGCGCGGAAGCGAGCCTCACTAGTGCAGAGGTGGGTAATGAGATCAGCGACAGTGTGGAAGGAAGCTAAGTCGGGGAACAGATAGGGAAGAGAGAGACGGCCTAGAGCGGCAGAGGCCGGTGAGGAGTAGCGGGCAACGACAGCAGTGTACAGTGCCTGTGCAGTCTTGTGCTGCCCAAAGTGCTCGCGCTCATCTATCGGCAGAGAGTTGCGAATAGCGAAGCGAGTATGGGCGTCACGAGTCTGCCACTGTGAGCGGGCAGTGCTGTCAGCAGTAGCAGCAGGAGCAGTAGCGTGGCCTAAGGCATGATCGTACAGCGAGATGTCTTCCTTGGCAGTGAGCTGTAGGAAGAGGTGTAGGTCATCAAGCCAGGTGTCGAACTTCACTGGGCGGCCCTCAGCATCGAAGGCTAGCACAGGAGGGCTAGCCATGGTAGCAGCACTAGGAAAAGCAGTAGGAGCTGTAGGGTAGGTTGGGCGGCGCGGCTCGGTATAGGTAGGGCGGCACGGCTCGGGTCGGCCGGCGCGGCTCGGTTCGGGCGGCTCGGGTCGGGCGGCGCGGCTCGGTTCGGGCGGCTCGGTTCGGGCGGCTCGGTTCGGGCGGCTCGGGTCAGTTAGGGCTGGCGGCTCGGGTCGGGCAGCTCGGTTCTGTTAGGGCTGGGCGGCTCTGGTCGGCTCGGGGCCGCTAAGGGAGAGCGCGGGGAGCGGGTGGGGCCGTGAGGGACGAGCGCGGGGCCGACGTGGGTGCTAAGGGCGAGCGCGAGGCCTATCGGGGCCGTGAGGGACGAGCGCGGGGCCGATCGGGGCCGTAAGGGACGAGCGCGGGGCCGACGTGGGCCTCTAAGGGCGAGCGCGGGGCCTATCGGGGCCGTGAGGGACGAGCGCGGGGCCGATCGGGGCCGGAAGGGACGAGCGCGGGGCCAACACGGGCCTCTAGGGGTAAGCGCGGGGTCGATTCGGGGCCGTTAAGGACGAGCGCGGGGCCGACCCGGGCCTCTAGGGGTAAGCGCGGGGCCGATTCGAGGCCTCTAAAAGCGAGCGCGGGCCCGACTGAGGCCTCTAGGTGCGAGAGCGTGGGGCCGACGGGGCCTCTAGGGGCGTGAAAGCCGAGGCGCCCTAGGGCGCAGGTAGGTAGGTAGGTAGTGGTGGGCCCTAAAAAAAATCGGTCCTAGGAAGGACCTGCTCTATACCATGTTGAACAAGAATGGATGAACTAAAAGTGAAATGAGTACAAGTATGAAAAACTAGGAATGTGTACCCCCTATAGGCTAACCCACTGTAGCCTAAACAACTACAACAACATATATAATGTTTGACAATATGTAACGCTCGGAGCCCACCATATGCTGGCCGGAGCAGCTGTCCAGGTACCAGGTGTTGTAGCACTTGTTGTCGTCACGTGCGAGCAGCGCCAATCGCGGTGTGACGATGTGCAGGGTGTCGAACTTCAGAAATTGCTCGCGCAAGAGCCAATCAAGTGGCGCCACCCGCATGTCTGGTATGTGCGGGGGACTTTCAAGCAGCGAGACTGGGAGGTTCCAGTCCTGGCCGTTGTCGTCGTTGAAGTCGCGGCGCGGGCTGAACGGGTTGTTGTTGGTGAACGTGCCGATGGGGTGCGGTGCTAGCTCAGGTGAGGGTGAGCGAACACGGCGACGACGTGACTCGCCTGTCATGGCCATGTTGCTCATGACGTTGCGCGTAGGGGCAGTTGATTGCTGCTGCTGCTGAACGGTTGAGTTCAGATTGCGCGCGGGTGGGGGTTGATACCCTTGGGCTCGACGCACGTCGCCTCGTGCGTCTTGTCGGCCGGACCAGTTGCTCGGATTGGTCTGGCGAGGGCGAGATCGGAACTTACATCGATCCGCCAAATGCCCGAAGTTTCTGTAGATTTTGCAGTAGAGGCGCCGCGGTCGTCGCTCTTCATTGTTGTCGGCATAGAAGGCGAGCCGTTCGCGTTCTCGTCGTGGCGCTGGTCGCTGCTGATCCATATCATGTTGTTCGACGAGAAGGGCGGCGCAAAGGGCGGCCTCCGAGATGACCCCCTGCTGTCGGAGGAGCGCCTTGCAGGGCCGCCACTCTGGGCCAAGCCCTTGAAGCACAATGTTTACGAAGATTTCATCGGAAATCGAGCTTCCCAACTTCGCGATTTGATCGCGAAGGCTCCGACAGCGGTTGATGTAGCTGTTGACCTTCTCCCCTGAGGTCATCTTAGTTTCCAGCAGTTGCTGGAGTAGTCGGCTCGAGGAGACAGAGTCCTTGGGTTGATACACGCCGTTCAAGTGGCGCCAAGCGTCGAGGGCTGGGGCAGCCGATGTCTTGTATGAACGAATGTTCAGCTCCTCCGCCGGCAACATTTTACGCAGAAGAATCCCGTACGCCATCAAGGACTCGTTATAATAGCGAGTCCTGGCGACGTCGGGGTCCTCAGCAAGTCCCGAGTGTCAGAATCCCAGTCACTAGACCACTGGGATAAAAGGGCTTATTTCAGTAGCGGGTCAGTGCGCCCATAACCCCCCAGGCAAACGCGCCTGTAAACCCCCCTAGGATCGATCGGGGATCTCACTGTGTAGCTCTACTGACACCCCTCCACACTGGGAGGCCCAGGACTGAGCACAGTGGCAACGGCCAACATGTGCATACACCGGGATTCGAACCCGAGACCGCTCTGATACCATGTCAGAATCCCAGTCACTAGACCACTTGGATTAAAGGGCTTATTTCAGTAGCGGGTCAGTGCGCCCACAACCCCCCAGGCAAACGCGCCTGTAAACCCCCCTAAGATCGATCGGGGATCTCACAGTGTAGCTCTACTGACACCGAGTAGCTCCCGTCGAAATAATGATAAGTCTGCGCGTTTTGCAGCAGCAGCTCCAGCTCGAAGCTCCAGTTGTAAAAGTCTCTGCCGTTAAAGCACACACTTGTCTTTATTTTTGATATGCTCAAAAACCTTGATTGCGCAGAGAGAATTGCTTCATCGCTGGGACAGGGAGTCTTGGGGGTTGAGCCATTCGTATCTAGGGAGAAGCCTTGCGGGGCGGAGTTTTGGCCGTTTGACGCCGGTTGAGTGGGTTGGGAAGAGGTTCCCGCGTCGCCATTCCACAATGTTTGGAGTTCTTGCTCCAGGCTCGTGAGTCGCTGAAGCAGTTGTGCGAGGACGGCGGAAGGGATCGTCGTCGTTTCCTCGCTTGTCGCAGCCGGGTTGGGCTGCGCTTCAGCCGTCAGATTCGTCTGACCACCGGATCCTCCGGCCATTCTCATACGCGAGTGTGTGCCGGACGCCACTTTCTGAGGGCGTATTTCGGGTTTGGGGCATGGGCACTGTTCCGGGCATGCGCCATTTGCGGATGCCCAGAACAACACGCAACACCAACCTCGAGGCATGCGCCCCATGCGACAGTTCGTTTGGGCGCCAAAATCCGCGCCAAACAAAATACTGGTAACACACGTCGCGGCCAATACGGCCGAGTCGTACATGTACCCCCACGAACAGCCATCAGCCGAGAGTCCGTCTGACCCCACCCCAGCCACCGTCAAAATTCCCGGCGGGAAAGGTCACATTCAGATCTGCGCGGCTCCACATTCCCAGCCAAACCCACCATCCCAACAGCGTCCTTCCCACACCAGGGTTGTTGCATTCCACAAAAACACAAGCGCAACAATCTTCCAGATCTGCATGACACAGTTTCAACCGACGAACACCAACAGCCTCATCACCCAGATCTGTCAAGCACAGAACGTGCAGCCATGCCGCCACGCCGTAGCACCCGTAGCAAGGGAAAGGAGACAGCATCCGACGATGAGCCTATGGCGGACCCTCCTTACGTCGTGTGGTTAAAGGAGCAGAAGAAACAGGGGAAGTCGCCCCCCTCCATCAAACGCATATCCAAGACCAAACGGGACTCTGCGGCCGCATCCACCAGCGGCGCGTCACGGCTTGCTTACGAGGATGGCGCCGATACCGACGTCAGCGATGACGACCTCGAGGAGATCGTCTCGGAATCGGAAAGCGATGACGACTCCGGTAACGACAAGGACACAACGGACGACGAGGAGGGAGAGTCCGACGGCGAAGGGAGTCGCGACGATCGCAGCACACGAGCGTCGAAGAAGGAGAAACGACCTAAACCGTCAAGCAACAAGAGGAAGTGGTCAGATGCGGAGCTGACGACCCTCGCCGCCGCCAAGTGGACTACGAAGGACGATCTCAAAGCGATGCAGGGCAAGCAGGGCAGCCAGTATTGGAGGAAGCTGCACGCCCACATCGTCGAGGGGGAACCGGGGTGGAACCGCGACGAGGGGCAGATGTCTAATGCGTGGAAACGCCTCGAGAAGCTTTACTTCAAAACGAAGCGGGGAGAATCGGCAAGCGGAGGCAAAGCCGTGAAGAAGAAGCCCTGGTGGGAGTACGTGTACAACTTGAAAAAACACTCGGCCAAAGCTAAGCCCCACGCCTTGGACGGCGGTGGCGCCGCCAGCGTTGACGTCGCGGCGTACGCAACTGTCCCCGGCTCCAACGACCGGGAGACTTTGGTTCCGCCGGCCCAGGCGCAACAGCGTGGAACACGCCGCCAAACACCAGACATCGGTCAGTGCTCTGATTTCATGTATGCGCCTACTGTTTAGGTTATATCTTACCAATGCGACAAATGTGCTAATACCCGAGCGGTTTAGTGTGTCTCTTATACAACACACTCATTTAAACGTCAAGTTTCCAATGTTCCAAAACATTGACAGACAAGGGAGGTACAGGCAAACAACGACATGAAAGGCCGCCTTATGACCGACACACCCTACTCCCACCCCTACAGAAACGGCAATCACCCCTCCACCGAAACGACGGCGGGTACAGGATACTGCGACAATGGCGGCAGCTAGGTTGGTGACCGACGCGATCAACTCCACCAACGTGAACGTGGTGCGCCAGCTCCAGGATTCAACGCAGGTCCTTGTCGCCGCGATGAACATGGCGGCGCTGCAGGCAGGCTTGCGCCTGCAGATGGTCGCCCAGCAAGCTCCTCAAGATGCGCCAGCCACCACCCCACCTCCGCCGCCGACAGCGGAGGAAGGAGACGCAACCATGGCCGGGTCAGATGAGGCGGGCGAGCAGCCAGCGCCTTAGCGCTGCCTCTTGGGCATTCGGCGACGCCTAAGGTAAGCCCTGTGGATATGCTTGCCGAAGTGGCGGCGCCTGACGCGCAGCTCGGTAAGAGTCGGGTTGTCCAGGCTCTCCCATTGGTAGCGATCCATGCCGCTTCTTGTCCACCAGCCATTTGGTAGCCCCGCCCAAATGAAGCGGCGGGGATTGAACGTCCTCATCCTTGGGGTGCTGACCACCTGCAGCATGTTGTGCAGGATGATGATGCAGGCGGTCCCGCCACACACGCGCCAGAGCTTGCTCTCGTGCCGGCGGGAGAAGAGCCTCCATCGACCCTTGAGTGCTCCGATCGTGCGCTCAACCACCATCCGCGTCGCCGATTGGACGTAGTTGAAGGTGTTCTCCCACTTCTTCATTAGGCGGCGGCGGGGAGCATGGAGGGGGGTTAGCATGTAGCTTTTCAGAGGATATGCCGCGTCCCCAACCAGCTGATAGGGGGCGATTTCGCCGCTCTCTAGCCTGCCATGTAGCTCAGAGGTAGAGAAAACACCTTGATCATGCATAGACCCGGGGTTGCCCACTGTGTAGTCCCAGATGATCCCTTTCGAGTCACAAGTGACCTGTAGCTGTACACTGTATACAGATTTGCGGTTGTAGTAGTCGCTGCGGTGAGCATCCAGACCGCGTATCTCGATTTGTGTGCCGTCGATTGCTCCAATGACGTTCGGCACGCCCTTGATGGCGCGGAAGTCCAGCGCCATCTCCTCACGCAACTCTTCAGAAGGGAATTGAACCCAGTCACGCTTGAACTTGCGGGGGAACCACACCAAAAAGCAGTCCACAATGCGATGAATGAGACCCTTGGGCAAACCGAACATGAAACTCATGTCGTGATATGTCATGGCACTTGCAAAGTACTTGATGGGAATCAGGCAACAGAGAGATAACGGGACGTTGTTGTACTCGACGAAACGGGACATGGGGTGCGCCATCTTCTCCGCGATGAGGTCGAGCACCTCCCGCGTGATCCGGAAGGTGTCCTCGAACTCCTCGTCAAACATAGCGCGAATTTCCTCCACCCACTCCGCCACACGTGCCTCTCGACGGCGCTGGCGGCTTTCGCGGCGCGCAGTCGCACGTCGCTGGCGCTCCTCATCCTCGGCTTGGGCCATCGGTAGGATAGTGGTTATCCACTCTAGTGCGGCGAGGGATACTACACGCTGCCAGGTGTTGAGCACGTACTCATGCCAGAGGTGCAATGCTACACATAGAATGAGTACCTGTGGGGTAAGCATGTTTTATGGCCACAGCGGCTTTGGCCGACTGGCTTCCTGGCGGCCCTTTAGAGATGGTTCAGTACGGTGTCTTGCCTGCATCCTTGCTGGCGGAGCTGGCGACACGGGCGTGGTGGTGGCTGTGCTTGTTAGCAGGGCGGTTTGTGTGTCTTTGCATGTAGTGTGCTGGTCTGGCTTCTGGATGTTGTGATTGTTACGAGGATTAAGTTGTTTTACAAGGGTGTGGTGTACACGCCACATTGACGGGCGTGCACATCGCGCCGAACGGCCGATTTACAGAGGTTGCTCTACATGGGGTCGCGCAGCTCTGTGATTGGTGCGCTCCACCTTTTGTTTGACGGTCGCATGCAATGTTGAGCATGACCCGAAGTTTGAGTCGCGCGCGCTTTGGTGCTTGGGTTTGGGTCATGCGGTTGTTGCGGATGCCCTGTACAGTGCCTGAACAGTGCTCATGCCCCAAACCCGAAATACGCCCTGAATGTCGTAATTTTCGGGAGTGGCAGTGCGAAGGATTCCCGAGTCGCTCGCATACCATGCTGCGATCAGAAGTTGATCGTGGCCTAGGATCTACTAAGGAAGGTTCGCTCGCAGAGAAGTGATGTTGGTGGGCCCTTGACCTCAATAGCAGAGTGAATTTAAAATGCTTTGAGATAATTTAAAACATGCAAATACAGCAAATATAAATATGAGTACAGGGGAGATGAAACGACCTAGCTAGCCATGTACTCTAAGGGGTACATTCCCTTATTCAAATACATTCCCAACCGTGCGGCGCGAACAGTTACGAAACTGCTCCTCCCGAAACCATCTTGCTTGCAGTTGCTTGATGCTGTCTGCTCCGACGGTCCAGATGCGGAGTGGTTTCATTTGCGATACTGGGTGCTTCTCTTTGCTGCGGTGAGGAGTGCACAGTAATATTTAAGTATTACTATTCGTAACACAAATCACATTGTAACGGATGTGACGCGCCCTAAGAACTCATTAATTTTGAAATTTCAATCTCCACAAAGTGGAAAGCTTGAAATCACCCTGAAATCAGGGTAATTACCTTGATAAAAACAGCCCTGACCCGACCATACGCGATCTCACGACCCCGACCCAGTTAGCCTTCGCTATATCAATGACATGTCTCATTATTTGCCCAGTAGTCATTATCCCTTCCGCGCTATTGAATCCCGCGCACTTTTATTCATTACAACTGATAACATGTACGCTGACACCCACAATATATGGATGAATCCGTCAATTTGAGTTTACAGTAGTTTTCATTCATTGTATAATGATGTACAGTTGAAGTTGTAATGAGATGGAATGTGGGGTTTCTAAACCATCATTTTAAGCATTTTCTGGAACGCACAATAACTGTACATCACCAATATTTCAAGAACGACCACAATGAACGACAATATCGAAGGAAGCGAGTCTTTCTGGTTCGCTGGAAGCCACAGGCAGTTGCAGAGCAAAGTGCATGCGCGCTGGGGCGGCTACAAGCTATAAAACAAAAGAACAAGGTGAGCCAAACCAAACCAAACCGCATCAGGTGCGAGGCATGTTGCGCCGCCGACACCACCAACCCCTTCTGCTTCGTTCATACATAACCTCTTTAGGTCTGGCCTGGGTACGCACGTACATATAGGCTCACTAACTGGCAAGGCTTGCCGTCGCGATAGTTTCGACCAGGATAGGCCCTCGTACCGATGCGGGTTATTAATTTATCACGTGCCCCGATTTCTCGTGCAGTTATTTCATAAGCGCGCTGCGCGTGCTTTCAGTGCAGCTCCCTCCGTATTTTTGTCACGTAGTTCTTTTGAGGCGGTCAGGAAACGTAATCGAGAGTAGAAAAAGGCGCGGTGCTCTGCCTCCCTCCCTCCGTTCCCCCATTTCCCCATTTTCCCCTTCCCCCCGTCCCGGGTCCCTCGCTCTCCCTACCGTCGCCCTCGCCACCTGGCCTCCGCGTTTCACGCTACAGCGGAACCAGCGTGCCCGCTGTTGACGCGCACGCATGGCCGCTGCTGATTGCGCTGCCACCGCCACTGATACCGCCACTGATACAGCTGCTCCAGCTGCACCAGCTACAGCCGTCACAGTTACAGCCGCCATAGATACAGCCGCCACATGTGCTTCTGCTGCCCCTTCTGCCGGCAATTGCGACAGGAGCGCCGCGATAGAAGCGGGAAGAGGGAACGCGCGGAGAGATGACGCGGGTAGCGCTCGCGAGGGTGCGTTGTGAGTCAACACGTCGCCACAGCAGCGATAGGAGGAGCTGTAGCAGCGATTGCAGAGTCTGCGGCTGCTGCTGCTGCTGCTGCTGCTGGAGAGGTGTGGTGGTGGAGAGGAAGGGAGAGAGGAGTATCACAAGCGAAAGACGTGGGAAAGGAGATATAGAGGAGTTAAAGGAAGCCGAGGAAGGGGAGGAGGCGGAGGGGGGGGAGGAGGGGGAGTGGCAGCATGTGCAACGACGTGCTGGGAGTAGGTGCTCGGCTTGGCGCGTGCACGCCCCCTGGCGGCATCACCGCGTGCCTCAATAGCTGCGTGGGGCCCACGCAGGACTGCTACAACGACTGCTACAGGTGCGCGCCGCTACAGGTGCGCGCGGCTACACTACAGGTGCGCGCTGCTACAGGTGGCGCGCTGCTACAGGTGCGCGCTGCTACAGGTGCGCGCTGCTACAGGTGCTCGCTGCTACTGGTGGGCGTTGCAGGGGGAGTAGACGAGACGGTGTAGGAGTGGGCGATCGTGGAGCAGGCAGGTTGTATGTGCTGATTTGTATACATCCCCCTCACCACCCTCCCCACCCTGACCAGTGACCAACGCTACCCTCCCCACCCTGACCAGTGACCAACGCCACCCTCCCCACCACCATCCCTCCCTCCTTCCCCACCGGCCATCCGATTTTGAGGCGCCTCAAAAGGAGTCTGATTTTGAGGCTTTTTTTAATTCAGACTCCGTAAACATTCCCCCCATCACCCTCCCCACCCTGACCAGTGACCAACGCCACCCTCCCCACCACCATCCCTCCTTCCTTCCCCAGCAGCCATCCACCAAAGCCCACACCCCCTTCGTCCCCCATGCCCCACAACCCAGACCACTCTCCTACCAAACCCCGGGTCCAGCTGTGCGTATTCTCCATGCCCGTGTGCGTGCACCTCCTCTGCCTTCCCCTCACACACTCTCAGTCCTCCCTTACCCTCTCTCTCACTCACAAAACCCCCCACCCTCCCCGCTCCTTTCCACCCCGCCCTCCCCCTCCCTCCTTCCCCCCTCCCTCCCGCTCCCCACCTTCCATACAAAAGTATCTCGGCCCGGTGTTGCCCTGTGTCTGATCTGATGGGGACCACAAAACCCCCAGTGACCTGCCTGCCTGGCCGTCTCCCCCATCCGTCCAGGCAGCTTCGGACTCTGCCCCTGCACTGGACTTCCCAAACTCATTTCTGCACCCACCCCCCACCCAAGCCTCAATTGGATCTCCCTATCCTGTGCCTGTCGTACTCGTAACCTGCCTATCCTGCCCCTGCCACCCGCCCGTTTCAAGCAAAGCATTTACTCACTTCGGTGCTCTCAAGATATGAGACCTATTTGCCTTGAAACACCTGTTTTCTTTGCACCATGAGTGCCCCCTACACTACCCTCTCTTCTATTCCTAAAACACCAAGTGGCTGCCTCGCTGCTGCTGCTGCTGCTGCTGCTGCCGCCGCTGCCACTGCCCACACCACAGCAAGAAGCCGACCAAACAGCCCTGGCTGGCCCTGCCCTGCGACCCTTGAGGCGTCTCAAAAAACAACTTCTGAGGCGCCTCAAAAAACAGCCCTGGCTGGCCCTGCCCTGCGACCACCCCTGCTGCTCTCTACTCCACACCTTTCTTGTTCAAAACCTTCTCACCACAGCTTCTCCTCTTTCTCTCCTTTCTTCTTCGCCGTTCTCTCTCCCTCTCTACTCCTCGATTCCACCCTCCACCACCCCTCCGTCTCTCCCAGGAATACGGGGTGGCTGCCCATGCCCACGCTGCCCATCACAGAGAAGCTGGCCTTCCCGGTCTAGTTGACTAAACATCCACCCCTTTCCCCTTCCTCCTTCGTCATTCTCTTCCTCGCTACTCCTCCACTCTACCCTCCACCCCTCCCTCTCTCCCAGGGACACAGGCTCGCCTGGCCATGCCTGCCTGCCTGCCCACGCTGACCATCACAGAGAAGCTGCCCTTCCTGGTAAATCTTCAGTCGACTCTAAATCCACCCCTTCCCCCTTTCTTCTTTGCCGCTCTCTCCCTCCACCACTCCTCCATCCTTTTCTCCCTCTCCCCCAGGGACACGGGGTGGCTGCCCCCGTTAACCACAGCAGAGAAGGTGGCGTTCCCTCTGGCGGCGGTGACGCTGCTGCTGCTCTCACTCACCCTCTCCTGCATCATGGCCTCGGCTCTAGGGCTCGACATCTCCGCACTCCAGGTGAAGCTTTTGTTCTGAGACGTCTACGCACTCACTCACACCCGTTTGGAGATGTCTCAAGCCTCACCCTCTCCTGTTTCGACACGTCTCAACACTCACTCACAACCTTTTTGAGATGTCTCGACTTTCACTCACACACACCCCTTGTGAGATGTCTCAGCGTTCGCCGTCTGTCTCCTGCATCTCATCATGGCCTCGCCTCGGCTCTTGGCCTAGAACATCTCCGTGACTCCAGGTGAACTTTGAGGCCCCTCCTCTTCTGAGACGTCTCAAGCCCCGGCTCACAGTGAGGTCTCTGGCCTAGACATCTCCGCCTCTGTCTCTGTCTCCGTCACTGTCTCCGTCTCCGTCTCCGTCTCTGTCTGCTGCATGTATCATGGCATCGGCTCTCCGTCTTGAGTCTTGACGTCTCCGCACTGCCCTGCAGGTGACCCTCCTGCCTTGAGTTGATTGACGCATCTCGACCGACCACTTGCCATCTTGTACCGTGCCCCCTGCCCTGCGCCATGGCATCTCTGCACTGCACCCCATGTGATGTGATGTGATGTGATGTGATGTGATGTGATGTGATGTGATGTGATGTGATGTGCTGTGATGTGATGTGATGTGATGTGCTGTGATGTGATGTGATGTGATGTGCTGTGATGTGCTGTCCTGTGATGTGATGTGATGTGATGTGATGTGATGTGATGTGTTGTGGTGTGGTGTGACCCTCCTCCTTGCTCTCTCACTTCATTCACACACTCTGAAGGGTTCGGGTGCTGCCTACCCCACCCACCTCTCACCGTTCCACTGGTTGCTTGTGGTTCCTTGTCCTTGCATTACTGCGGCATGTTATAATGTATCCTTCCTTGCGTGCGTATCATGCTGTGCCATGGCATGTCGTGGCATATCCTGGCACCTCATGGCATCTCATGGCTTGACATGGCATCTCATGGCTTGACATGGCATCTCATGGCTTGACATGGCATGCCATGGCATGCGGAGCACAGGCGGCAGTGGAGGGGGTGGATGCGGGGGTGAGGCGGCAGGCGCAGCGGGTGCTGTCTCTGCGGCGCCACGGCACGCTGCTGCTCACCACTCTGCTGCTCGCCTCCACCACACTCAACGTCGCCTTCACCATCTTCTCCACTGGTGCGTGCGTGTGCGCGTGCGTGTGTGTGTGTGCGTGCGTGTGCGCGTGCGTGCGTGTGTGTGTGTGTGCGTGTGTGCATGCGCATGCACGCGCGCGCGTGCGTGTGTGTGTGTGCATGTGTGTGTGTGTGTGGGTGTGTGTGCGTGTGTGTGTGTGTGTGTGCGTGTGTGTGTGTGTGTGTGTGTGTGTGCCCGCGTGTGTGTGTGCACGCGCGTGTGTGTGCGTGCGTGTGCGTGTGGTGTGTGCGTGTGTGTCTGTGTGTGTGTGCGTGTGCGAGTGTGTGCGTGTGTGTGCGTGTGTATGTGCACACGTGCGTGTGTGGCACATTTGGTTCTGCAACAGGTGTTGTAATAACACAAAGGAACAAAGTAATTAGTTCATCCCCATTGAACTGTTACAGGTTCAGGGATTCTTGTCTTCTGAGAATATCATCTCCCTTCACACGCACAACTTCTCTTCTCAACTCCTCCAGGCCTCCAACCCACCCACCTACGCCTTCTCTCCTTGGTTCTGGGGCTTTGCTCCTGCCTCGCATTTCTTGTGTGGGTTTGATTCCACTTCTTCCCTGTGTCCTCCCCTCCTCTCTCCAACCCCCGCCAGTGCCTGCTTGCCTATCCTCGCCCTCTCCTCTCCACGCCCTCTATTACTGAGTCGACTCAAAGATCGACTTATCACACACTGCCTGCTTGCCTATCCTTGCCCTCTCCACGCCCTCTCTAGTTTTTCTCCTCTTCCTCTGCTCTTCATCTGCTCTTCCTCTGCTCTTCCTCTGCTCTTCCTCTGCTCTTCCTCTGCTCTTCCTCTGCTCTTCATCTGCTCTTCCTCTGCTCTTCCTCTGCTCTTCCTCTGCTCTTCATCTTCTCTTCCTCTGCTCTTCCTCTGCTCTTCATCTGCTCTTCCTCTGCTCTTCCTCTGCTCTTCCTCTCCTCTTCCTCTGCTCTTCCCCTGCTCTTCATCTGCTCTTCATCTGCTCTTCCTCTGCTCTTCCTCTGCTCTTCCTCTGCTCTTCATCTGCTCTTCATCTGCTCTTCCTCTGCTCTTTCTCTCCTCTTCCTCTGCTCTTCATCTGCTCTTCCTCTGCTCTTCCTCTCCTCTTCCTCTGCTCTTCCTCTGCTCTTCATCTGCTCTTCATCTGCTCTTCCTCTGCTCTTCCTCTGCTCTTCCTCTGCTCTTCCTCTGCTCTTCATCTGTTCTTCATCTGTTCTTCCTCTGCTCTTCCTCTGCTCTTCCTCTGCTCTTCCTCTGCTCTTCCTCTGCTCTTCCTCTGCTCTTCCTCTGCTCTTCATCTGCTCTCCATCTGCATTTTTTCTGCTTCCCCTCTCTCCGCCTCTCCCTCCCTTCTCCCCCACCCCACCACAGCCATTCTAGGAATGCTGTTCGGATTCCTCTTCTCCTTCCTCGCGCTCCTACTCCTCGTGGAGCTCTTGCCCCCCTCTCTCTGCGCCCCACGCCCCCTCCACGTCGCCTCCGCCACCTCATGGCTCTCCCACCTCCTCCTCTTCCTCTTCCTCCCCATCTCGCTCCCCCTCACCGGCGCTCTGAATTGCTGCTTGGGGAAAGGGGAGGCTGCAGCGCAGGGGGGGGGGAGAGGGAGGAGGAGGGGAAGGGCGGGGAAGTTGCGGAGGAAGGGAGGGGAGATGGGGGAGGAGGATGGGGAGGATGAGAGGGTGATGGAAGGGCTTCTGTGCAGGTGAGACAATGGTGATGGTGACGGTGGGGTTGTCTGTTGGATCGCTACAGAATTTCTTTTTACTTGTGCTGTTGTGTGTTTATGTGTGTGTGTGTGTGCTCGCGCGCTCGTGTGTGTGTGTGAATTTGAATGTGTGTGTGTGTGGGCGTGGGTGTGTGTATCTGCATTATTGTCAATCATAATGCTCTCCTGTCCACAGTTCAAAGCCACTCCCACTCTGTTCTGTGCCCTCACCAGCAGTCCAACCAATTCTGCCCGAATAAAACAGTGAATCATGTAATCAAACAACACGTAGCTGCGGTCCCAGAGTCGTCTTAAATAACCGAAATCCTACTTCATCCCCCCTTTTCCCCCATCTCAATTTACCCCCTATCCCCCTGCTTCTGTCTCCGGCCATTGTTATTTCTCTCCCCCCCCCCCCCCAAGCAGCGGTCCTATGTGTACGGACCGATTCTGCATGAAGCACTCAACTGATGATCTCTGATGCGCCTCAAAGGTTTTCTCTCCCCTCCAACCCCTTCCTTCCCCCCCCCACCCCCCCCCCTCCCGGCCCCACCCCCCCCAGTGGTCCTATGTGCACCAACCGATTCTGCATGAAGCACACAGGGGAAGATATCCGCAACGGTACCGGCCCCTCCTCCTACCCCATCCTCCTCTCCTCACACTCGCATCAGCTGCAGCACCAAGCAGGGGAATACGAGGGAGAGGAAGAAAGAGAAGGGGAAGGGGAGGACGGAGTGGAGGAGCGAGAGGAGGGGGGAGAAACGAGAGAGGCGATTCATGGAACTGAGTCCCTGCCATCTGTGCAAGTGCAACCACCGCCACCACCACAAATGCAAATGCAAATGCAAACGCAAACACAAACACATCCGTCCTCTTCCTCTTCATCTCTTGCCCCTTCCCGCTTCGCCTCGTCCTCACCCTTTGACTCCCATCTCCTGCCCACGGTCCTCGAGGAAGACGAAGGCGACATCGAAAACCCACCCCCATCCCCTCCCGCTCCTGCTGATGCTGCTCCTGCTACTGTAACTGCTACTTCTGCTGCTGCTCCTCCCCTTGCTGCGGATCCTCCTGCAGTGGCTATTGCCATTGCGGTCACAGACCTGGGCAGTGACAGAGACGCGCTCATGTCCCCGGCATGTGTGCCTGGAGGGTGCATGGGCCCAAGAGACGGAGACGGGGGGTTCCTGGCCCACCACCCCCGCTTCTCCTCACGCACTGCTGCTGTGGGGGCAGCAGCAGCAGCAGCAAAGCAGTGGGGCAAAAGGGGGAGTGATGGGAGGGGGGTTAGGAGGGGAGAAGGGAGCGGAGAGAGGGGACAGGCGCTGCCGCCTATTGGGAGGTGAGTGAGCTCATCTGTTTGTGTGACAATCCTTGTGTGTGTCTTGAGTATTGCTTTCTCCTCGCTCACTTCACCGACCGATCTTGTCCTCCAGATTGTAAATGTGAGCATGACTTTTGAGTCGACTCAAAGGTCACCTCGCTCACTTCACCGACCGATCTTGTCCTCCAGATTGTAATTGTGAGCATGGCAGCTGTGCACGGTTATGAAAGCCTTCCTTTTGTGCTTCCCTCGAGCAATCTTCATGCACTGCACTGCACACCATGCACTGCACACCATGCACTGCACACCATGCACTGCACAGTCAAAGCATGAGCAGCAATCCTGCACGCATACACGCATGCAAAGCGTCCATCCATCTTTTTGGATCTAGGCCCTCATACAACTCGTCCCTCCTCCTCCTCCTTCTCCTCCTCCTCCTCCTCTCCTCCTCCTCCTCCTCCTCCTCCTCCTCCTCCTCCTCCTCCTCCTCCTCCTCCTCCTCCTCCTCCTCCTCCTCCTCCTCCTCCTCCTCCTCCTCCTCTTCCTCCTCCTCCTCCTCCTCCCCCCCCCTTCTTCCTTTCCACTTCCCTTCCACCTCCGTTTCCTTTCCCCTCTTCTCCCGTTCCCTCCCGCCCATCCCTGCAGCATGCCCATAGGAGCACGGCACACGCCCCTGAAGCCCTCTCCTGCTGCTCTTGCTGCTGCTCTCGCCGCCGCCAGTGCTCCTCCTCCTCCCCCTCTGACAACAACAGAACAGATAGCAGCAGCAACAGCAGCAGGGGGAGGGGCAGCAGCAGGAGCAAATGCAGAAACAACAGGTGCAGATGGGGGACCAGGTGCAGATGGGGGACCAGGTGCAGATGGGGGACCAGGTGCAGATGGGGGACCAGGTGCAGATGGGGGACCAGGTGCAGATGGGGGACCAGGTGCAGATGGGGGACCAGGTGCAGATGGGGGACCAGGTGCAGATGGGGGACCAGCAGGAGAAGCAGCACCAGCAGTAGGCACAGTTGCCGCTGCTGCATCTGCAGCAGCACTAGTTAATCTTGGAAGCAGAGCAGGCAATATGGTGGAGGGTGACTGGAATGGGCAGGTCGAAGCGGGTTCTGCAGCACCAATGAGGGAGGGGCAGGGCACTGCTTGTTGTGCTGCTGGGGAAGGGAAAGGGAGTGGGGATAAGGATGGGGTTGGGAGTAGTGATGCGAAACCGAATGATGGTTCAAGGGTTCCGGAAGGAGGAGAGGGGAGAGATAGCATCGAGAAGGGGAATGCTGAGCATTTTGTTGCGGCGGAGGTCAAGCAGGAGAAGGCGGAAGAAGGGGATGAGGGCCAGGAGGAAGAGGAGTACTCAGAGGGTGGGGAAGAGGAGGAAGAGGGAGAGCAGGAGTGGTTTGATGCTCCTGAGGCGTTGATTCTATCCAATTCCTCCTCTCTTTCCACCAATGCCCCCATGTTCACCCCTCCCTTGGCCGCCTCTCCTGCACCGTCCGGGTCTCCTGCTGGTGGTTCGTCACCTGCGCGGCATGTGCTTGGTATCAGAGCAGCTGCGAGGCTGCTCGGGTCTTCACCCCTTGCTTTAGCAGTGCATGCACCGGCGGCGGCAGCACCAGCAGGAGTGGGAGAAGTGGGAGGAGGCAGTGGAGGTGAAGGAGGAAGGGGAGAAGAAGAATCAGGAGTAGCAGCAGCAGCAGCAGCGGGATCTGTCCTTGGAATATTGTCTCCTATCAATCCGTCCTCCCCAGCCCCTTTATCCCCCACACTTGCTGCTGCCCCACCTGCCGCTCCACCTGCCGCCACCACTGCTACTTCTGCTGCTTCTGTCTCTCTTGTTGCCATTGCTTCTGCTGCTGCAGCAGCAGGAGCAGCAGAGGAACAAAGAAGAAGGCTTCAAGAATCAGCTCTCGTGAGCGAACCACCACCGTGGAGTCCCGACACATCACCATCAAAATCACCACCAGGATCCTCTCACCCCCCGGCTCGTGCCCGAACCCTACCTTCCACCTCTCGCCATCATCACGCTCCCTCTCCACCCCCCCCTCCCCCACTCCCTCCCCCCCTCCCGCCTCCCACCTCACCTCGAGAGGTGCTAAGACCGGTAGGTCCCCGAGCATCTAAATCCGATGCTTCCGACTTGCCTCTGTGCTTTGACGAATTGGAGGAGTTGGAACGGGAGGGGGAGGGAGGGGAGCGTTTTCACAAGCTAAGAGCCTGGTGGGATGCTACTGGAATGCGGGGTCGAGGGTCGGAAGGAGGGACGAGAGAGGATGGGATTGGGGCGGCGGGATCAGGATCAGGTGGGGGGGTTGGTGGGAGTGGTGGTGATGGTGGTTCTACGAGGGGTTTCGCTCCTGTGTTTGGTGGTTCTGCTCGGTCTGCTTCGCCTGTGGCTTCGGCAGCAGCAGCAGCACTAGCAGCAGGTGTTGGCGGTGCTGGTGGTGGTGTGGGCGGAGCAGCCGCAGGAGGAAGGATAGGAGGAGGAGGAGCAGGAGGAGGAGGAGGAGGAGGAGGAGCAGGAGGAGGAGCAGGGGGAGGAGGAGGAGGGGGTAGAGGGAACGCGGGGGAGTTCCGAGCGTTTTCTTTGCCTCGAGTGATGCCATCTGCAGTCCCTTGGTTGTCGCAATCACCGTTACTGTCGCCGCAGTCCTCGTTGCTGCATCACCACCTGGCTCTTGCTGCACCTGCTGCTTCTGCCACAGGCCCCATTCGTGCTCATGACCCTGCTGCACCTGCTGCTTCTGCCACAGGCCCTCGTGCTCATGACCCTGCTGCACCTGCTGCTTCTGCCGCCGCCGCCGCTCCTGCTCCTGCTGCTCCTGCTGTGACTGCTGGTGCTGGAGCTGTTTCTCAAGAGACCAGTACGATCCACTCTGCTGCTCCCAGTGTAAGTCTGGGAGGAGTTGCAGGCAGTGCCAGCAGTGCTGCCACCAGGAGTGCCGCTGCTGCTCCTGCTCCTTCTGCTGCTCCTGCTCCTGCTGTGCGGCAGCTGAGTGGGTTGGAAGCGAAGGCGCAGCTACAAGCGAGGCTGTTGGGGCTGAAGAACAAAACCTACCAGAGCCTACCCTCGCGTACCTGGGATGTGGTGGATGGTTCCTCAGGCACCAAAGCTCCTCCGTCTGCTGCTTCTGCTGCTGCTGCTGCTGCTGCTGCTGCTGCTGCTGCTGCTGCTGCTGCTGCTGCTGCTGCTGCTGCTGTGGCTGGTTGTGGTGCTGGTGCTGCTCCTGGTGCGGATGATGCTGCTGCTGCTGCTGCTACTGGTGGTGGTGCTGCTGCTGTTGCTGTTTCTGGCGATCGTACCGCTGCTGCAGCTAGATTTCCCACAGGTGGTAGTTGCAACAGTAGACACGAGCGCGAGGATGTGAATGGAAATGGTGGGCGAGGGGATGCGGGCATGGAAGGGGGGCAGGCTGTTGCAGCAGGAGGAAGAGCAGGAGGGGAAGGAGGAGGGGGAGGAGGAGGGGGAGGAGGAGGGGGAGGAGGGGAAGGAGGAGGAGGAGGAGGGGGAGGAGGGGAAGGAGGAGGGGAAGGATGGCGAGGAGGATTCAGGAGACAAGGAGATCAAAGCGGGGAGGTGGCAAGGAGAGCAGGGGATTCGCTGCGTAGTTATGAGGAGGAGGGGGAGAGCGAGGGGACGGACAGGGAGGAGGGAAGCAGCCAGAGGTTGCTGCGAAGGGCGTTGACCATCACAGCCAGGCGCAGAGCAGCAGGAGCGGCGGCAACCGCAGCAGCAGCGGGTGCTGAGGCTGTGTGGAGGAAGGAGATGGATGAGGGGGACAAGACGCGTGGGGCGGAACAAGCCGGAGGGCGAGCCGTATATGGCATGGATAGTGGTGTAGGCGAAGGTTGGAGTGGAGGAGGAAGCGGAGGAGGAAGCGGAGGAGGAAGTGGAGGAGGAAGTGGAGGAGGAGGGGAAGTGAGGCAAGGAGAAGGGTGTCAATTCCCTTTGACTCAGCACTCTGCCTCACCTTCACTCCCTCGCCCTCCCCCTCACTCCTCGTTCCCCAGCAACCCCTCGTCTGGCCAGTCACCCCCTCCTCCTCCTCATCACGACTTGAACCCCACTGCTGCTCGCCCTTTCTCACCTTATGCCCTCCCTCCCTCTAATGCCCCCTCTCCCTACCCTGCTCGTGACACCACCTCCCCTTTGCACCCACGTGACACCTCCCCTTTGCACCCACGTGACACCTCCCCTGCGCACAGGCCTTTCCAAAGCCCCTCTCCCTCCCGGCACCCCTCCTCTTCTCACCACTGCTCTAATTCCACAGCAGCAGCAGACTCGCCCCATCTATTGCACTCGCTCTCTACAGGGTCCTCCTCCTCGCCCCTACACCCCTCCGCCTTCCCTCCTCCCCGCACCCTCCGCTTGATGGCCTCCCAGGCCTCCCTCCCGTCCCACTACCACCACCCCTCGCTTGCCCTGCTCCCGCCGAAATCCCCACTGCTTCCGGAGACTCCTGCGTCTCCTGGGTCTCCCGAATCCCCCTCGTCCCCCCCTGCTGCGCTCTATCAAAAAGCAGCCACCACAGGTGCGCTGCTGTGCCATCAGCAGCAGCGGCAGCAGCAGCAGGAGCGGCAGGAGCGAAGGCAGGAGCGGCGGCAGCAGCAGCAGCAGCAGCAGCAGCAGCAGCAGCAGCAGCAGCAGCAGCAGGAGCAAGTTTCGGCTGCTCCGTCTGCCTTGTCTGCTCGGTCGCGCTATTTGAGGCAAATAGGAGTGGAGGCAGTGCCGCTGTCTGTGACTCCCAAGCAGCGTCCGGCTTTCCAGCAACGCAATTCCTTCATGCGACGGCTTGCACATGAGGACTGGGAGGATAGTGCCACCACCTCCGCCACAGACAGCAACGCCAACGCCAACGCCACCGCCAACGCTGCAATCAATACTACCACCAGTAACACCACCACTGGCACCACAGGCACCACAGGCACCACCACCACGGGCACTACAGGCACGAGCAGCAGCAGCACTGCGGGTTTCAGTTTGCCATCCTCCCCTGCTACTGACAGCCACGCACCCTTCCCTGCCCAAGCTCATCCCTCTCCCAACAGCCACTCTTCCCTCCTCTCCCCAAACCAAGTCTCCTTCCCGACTCCCCTGCACTCCCCCTCTCCGCTCCTCCACAGTCCCCTCTCGTCCAACAGAGCCCCATCTCCCGCTCCAATCAACCCCCCAAGACAGACCCCTTTCGAATCCTCTCTCACCTCCTCCTCCTCCTCCTCTCAGCTTCCCCTCACTCCTCCCCAGCCCGGATTCCCTGTTCGGTCGCACATAGGTTCTTCCCCTCGTCATGCGGAGCCGTATTATGGAGCTCAGCAAGTGGTGGGTGCTGGGAGAGATGGGGGAGGGGGTTTTAGAGGGGAGGTGCGAAGGGGAAGGGGGGGGAGAAGGCTTATGGAGGAAGATGAGCGGGTGGAGTTGAGAAGGGGAGGGGGGGTGGACTATGGTGGGGAGAGGGGAAGCGAGCGGGAAATGAGGAGGGGTGGGGGTTCGTTTGGAGAGGAGGGATGGTTGGAAAGGGAGGAGGAGGGGAGGAGAAGGGCGAGTGAGGAGGGTGGGACGAGAGGAAGAAGAGGAGGGAGGAGATTGTTTGAGGAGGATGGGGATAGAGAGAGGGGAGAGGAGGCATGGGCTAGTGAAAAGGCTACAGAGAGTGCTAGGAAGGGAAGGGATGAGAGGGATGGAGGGGACTCAAGGGAATTCGGGGGAACCGATGGATGGAGAGAGAGAAGGGAGGGGGGAGAACGGGAACGGAGACAGGGGAGGGATGGGAGGACGGGTTTGGAAGAAAAGGAGGGGAAAGTTGAGAGGAGAGGAAGAGAGGGGAGGAAAAGTCGGGATGAGGTGAAAGGGATGGAAGAAGGTGTAAGGAGGGAGGCAGAACAGGATGCGTTGGCGTCGGCGGCGTGGGAAGGAGAGGCATTGCAGAGAGGGCGTGGCTCTGAGGCAGCTGATATGTATGAGAGGCTTGATAGGGTTGCGAGAGTGCGTGTGGATGGGCCGGAGGCAGCTGTAGGAGTGCGGGAGTGGGAGGGCGAAGTAAGGGGTGTGTCTGGTTTTTGGGACGACTCAAGTGGTGGTGATGGTAGAAAGGGAGCGAGGGGGCAAGAGGAGGCACAGGAGCGAGATAGCAGGTCTAAAGACGAGTGGGAGGGGATGAAAAAGGGTAGAAGCGAAGAGGGACGAGAGAGAGTGGGGAGAGAGGGAAGTGGGGAGGACGTGGTGGAAATAAGGGAGGCAGAAGAAAATATGACTCGAGACAAGGTTGGGTCTTGCGGTGGGAGAGATGGGAACGCAGAAGAAGGGGACAATGATGATGGTGTTGATGGCGATAGTGACGACGATTCTGCTGCTGCTGATGATGATGATACTGATGATGATATTGATGATGATGATGATGATGATGTTGATATGACGGATGATCTGGATGACGAGGAGCAGCAGAACGCGTTCTCTCTTGATCTGGACTCCGAGTCAAGAGATCATGGCACTGGCAGCTTCAGCACTGGCTTCGCACCGGATGCTGCGAGCAAAGAGCGTGATGAAGAGGAGGATGAGGAGGAGGATGAGGAGGAGGAGGAAGAAGACGAGGACGAAGAGGATGGCAAGGAGAGGAGCAGGAGCCGGCCCACAGCTGCAATGCTGGACTCCCAGGCTGCATCTCTCATGCACCTGGCGCTGCATGCACAGGCTGCTAGGCATCAGGTTGCTGCTGAAGCACCCCCTCCCGTCCACTCGCCTGCCGTCTCCCTTGACTTATCTGCAAAGGGCTGCGGTGGAGAGCAGTTGCTTGGCAGCAGTAGCAAGGGTGGGAGCAGGGAGAGTGGCAGGGAGGGCAGTGGTGTTATGGGCAGCAGTAACAGGAGTGGCGTTGGTGGCAATGATGCTGCTGCCGGTGCTGCTGCTTTTAGTGATGCTTCAGTTGATGATTCTTTCGGTGCTGCTGCTGCTGCTGCTGGCGGTGGTGGTGACGCTGCTGCTGCTGGCGGTGGTGGTGACGCTGCTGTTGCTGGCGGTGGTGGTGACTCTGCTGCTGCTGGCGGTGCTAATTCTCCTGCCCCACTGTCACGTTCCTCCACGCCTCTCCCTCTTTCTGGTCCTCCCTTTGCCGAAGCAGCGTGGCTGGAGCCAGCTTGGCCGCGATTGAGAGAGCTGGAGGAGGGCTATTCAGGGGAATCGGGGCAAAGTTCAGGCGGTAGAAGGAAGGAGGGAGATGGAGGGGATAGGGAACGGGAAGAGAGAGGAGGTGTGGTGGAGGAGGAGAGGGGGAAGGAGGTGGGGGGAGGAAACGTAAGGGGTATGCAGGTTGGAGGAGGAGGGAGGGATGGGATGGGTGGAGAGGAGGTGTGTGTGGTGGTGGTGGATGATGGGATGGGGAGGAGGGAAGGCGTGGATGGGGGCTCGCGTGTTGAAGGTGAGCCGTTGTTAAGGAGGGATGATGGGAGCTGGTTTTTCGTTGGTTTTTGGTTTTTCTTTCTTTCTTTCTTTCTTTCTTCCTTCCTTTCTTTCTTTTTCTTTCTTTCTTTCTTTAAACCGGAATTTTTATTTTTATTCTTGCCGGTTGGTGCACACACCCCTGCACACGCACATGCGTACCGTCACACATATTTTCGTGTCTCGTACGCAGTGCGACATCTCCAATAAGCTAACTCTCCCTTCCATCTGCCCCTTACCCTCTATGTCTCCCTTGCTTCCCCTCTCTCCCTCGCTTCCCCCTCTCTCCCTCGCTTCCCCTCTCCCTTGTTTCCCCCTCTCCCTCGCTTCCCACATCTGACCCAGCTGCAGCACCAACACCACCACTTGTCGACAGCATCACCATGGCACCTCCCTCGCATGACATCCAAATCACGATTCCCCCATCCGACCTCCCGAATGAAACATCATCACCCATGCCGTTTCCCCACTCCTCCTCACGCCCATCCTCCCGCTCCGCCTCGCGACCTTCCTCTCGCCGCGCCTTACGAAATGCTGCAGTGGCAGCAGCAGCGGCAGCGGCAGCAGAATCTACAGGGAGTTATGGTGGGGGTGGGGGAGGAGGTGATGACGATGTGCATGGGTATGCCAGTGAGAGTGAGTCAGGAGCAGGAGCAGCAGGAGCAGCAGGAGCAGCAGGAGGGGCCGGAGGAGCAGTGGGGGAAGGGGGAGGTGATGGATCAGTGTTGCTGTCAGCATCAGCATCCATGCCTCGCACTCCTGCCACCCCCTCCTCTCCCCTCTCCTGGGCTGGGTGGCTCTGGGGCCAGCAACAACAACAGCAGCTGCAGTGAGCAGCAGCAGCAGCAGCAGCAGCAGCAGCAGCAGGAATGGAATGGAATGGCAGAGCGGCAGCAGCAAGGCAAGAAATAGCCCTTGCGAATCAAAAATGAGATGCCGCGATGCAAAGGAGTGGGGCTTTGAACGGGAGGCAACAAGGCACGTCAGCCAGGGCCCTGGGGTATGCGCGTGTGCCACTTCTGGTGAGGTTTCTCCTCAGTGATTTGCAAGCATGGCCGGTGAGTGGGGCCCTCTGAAGAGGTTAATACCATATGAAAGAACCCCACCAACGAAGGCCCAGGGGTTGCATGATAGCAGCCGTGACAGAAGAGGCAGTGGCACTCTTGGTGAGCATAAGTGACTCTAGGTGGGGCTAGGTAAGGCTACCAACTGACAGCAGCAGCGATGAGCCTAGTGAAGCAAGCATGGTGTAGGTACTGACAAAGAGCGGCAGGTAGTGGCAGGCACTCCCAACGTCATGATGAGTACTGCCTCCATGCATTATGTATGGACTCCTGTTACAGTACTGCTGCCATCATTGACCTTCAGAGGGGGGGTTAAGGGAGTGGGAGGAAAGGAGCAGTTGTGCAATAGTGCATGCAGGTGGGTGGGAACACCTGGTGGTGGTTCAGTTCAGCAGCTGCAGCTTGTATGAAATTCAAAGCATGGACAGCTCGCAAGCATGTAATCTTCTGTCTCTGAACGACATGGTGCAACGCAACGCAGCGATTTCAGTACCCTGTCCCTTTCGCAGGTGCACGTACTGGGGTAGATCCGGTCCGGTCCGGTCCTGTCCCATTCAGCGATTTCAGTACCCTGACCAAGTTCTGACAGGGTTCACTAAACACGAATAAAATCTGTCATTGTCCTGAGTTACTCTGATCTAAGATCTCACAAAATTATCCAGTTACATATAAAAGTATGCTTTAGCAAAAAAGTTTCAGTTTGCGGAATTTGAATAAATCAACAGCAACAGCAATTGCTGGTGCACCCCATGAGCCACAAATCAATGATCCAGCCTTCACTAGACCCAACCCAGCCCAACCCCATGCTCTCTTCCTCTTGCCTCTCAGCTTCCCCTCCCCTCCTGTCTCCATTCTTCCTTTCGCTCCACATGACATTTTTTCTTGAAGCAGCCTTTTGTAAAAGAACAGCATCTGTGAACACCTCGGCACCTCTTTGCATCTCTCTACACATCTCTGTGCTCTCCATACCTCCCTAAACAGCTCCCTGCACATCTCTCTGCATCACACCTCTCTCCACCTCTCTGCATATATCTCTCTCTCTCTACATCTTGCGGCGGTTGACGAGGCCGGTGAGGCCGGAGCCGCGCTTGGCGCTGTTGTCGAACATGCGACGCAGGAAGAGCACCTGCAGGGCGGACGCCAGGATCAGCACCACCGCCTCCACCGCTGCAAACTGCAGCACTCGCGTGTGCGTGTTCATGATCGCTGCCGTGAGGGGAGGAGAGGAATTGGGGGTGTGAGGGAGGGTGAAGTAAAGAGGGATGGCAAGGTGGGTTGACTCAAAGGGCAACTTGCAGCATGCCCGTGTGCGTGTTCATGATCGCTGCAGCACGAGGTAGTAAAGGCGTTTTGGAAAGGGGGGAAGCAAGAGGGGATGGGAGGGGTTGGGGATCCGAGATGTCTTAAAACGTGTGTGCGTGATTGTGATTGCTGTAGCACTGGAAAGGGGTGTGGTGTGGGGGGGGAGGATGCTGGAGACGAAATAGCAGGGCAAGGTTGGGGAACGGGAAGCAGGAAGTGTGGTGAAGAGGGAAGGGAGGGAGAAAAGGGAAGGAGGTCGCTGGGAATAGCAAGGGTTGCATGTAGATGGGAAATCGGGTGATGATGAGAAATGCGAGGAGGAAAGAAACGGGAAGGGGAAGGAAGTGAGAAGAGTTGGTGGAGGGCAGGGGGGAGGGGGGTGGGGGTGGGGGTGGGGGTGGGGGTGGGGGTGGGGGTGGAGGAGGGGGTGGGGGTGGGGGTGGAGGTGGGGGTGGGGTTGGGGGCGAGGGCTGTGGGTACGGGAAGGAGGCGTAGCTCCTTGATAATGTGAGCTAAGGGTTGCTGAAATGTACGCTTTCGGTAGAAAGGGGGGGAATTGGGGGTGAGGGAGGCAGAGAGGCGGAGAATGAGAACGGAAGTGGAGTGGAGTGGGATGAGATGTGTGTTTGTCTGACCAGCACAAGGAGAATGAAACAAGAGAGACACTGGGAGTCAGGAAGAGGTGCTGGGAGACGGAGAGAACGGGGGGGGTGGGGAAGGAAGTAAAGTGTCAGAGGGAAGGTGCGGACGCAGGGTGGGTAGACACATGAGATGACTTTTGGGCTAAACTGAGGGCAGAGATATCATGGGGCAAACGGGTGTGTTGTGGTTGTAATGTGGTGGTGGTCCTGCGTGGTGGTGCATGCTGCTGTGTGATGGTGAGATGATAGTGAGGTGATGGTGAGGTGATGGTGAGGTGATGGTGAGGTGATGGTGAGGTGATGGTGAGGTGATGGTGAGGTGATGGTGAGGTGATGGTGAGGTGATGGTGAGGTGATGGTGAGGTGATGGTGCGTGGTGGAGCGTGGTGGCAGGCAGTGCGTACTGTCTCGCTGGCGGTGCAGCTGCGAGCGGAAGAAGCGCTGGTCGACGATCATGCGGTGCAGCCCGTGCTTAATCTCGTACATCTGATCAAACAGCGCCTCCATGTGCCCTGCCGCATCGCCGCCCATGCACACGGACGGAGGCAGGGAGGAGGGAGGGAGGGAGGGAGGGAGGGAGGGAGGGAGGGAGGGAGGGAGGGAGGGAGGGAGGGAGGGAGGGAGGGAGGGAGGGAGGGAGGGAGGGAGGGAGGGAGGGAGGGAGGGAGGGAGGGAGGGAAGGAGGGAGGGAGGGAGGGAGGGAGGGAAGGAGGGAGGATGGGAGGGAGGGAGAGAGGAATGGAGGAGGGCATAGAAGGAGAGGGGAGTGGAGTGGGAGTAAAAGGGAGCTTTCATTGTGAGTTGAGTACCAGTACACGAGCACGCGATCAGCATATACCTCCCCATAGTGTAAACCACCACCACCCCTTCCCTCTCCCCCTTCCCCCCCTTTCCCCCCCTCCCTCCCTTTCCCCACATCACCCCGAAAACATCCCTTCCCCGCGCCCAACTACAGCCTCCCCCAACAACTCCTCCTCCCCGTGCCCCTCCCCCGCCATCTCCCCCCTCCCCGCGACAGCCGCGCACCATCAGTGGCGAGCTCGTCCTTGTTTGGCGCGCCGCTGGTGCCCGGCGGCGTGCCCGTGACGGCGGCGCTGCGCGGCTTCCACGTGGCGGCGTCCTCGAACTCCGCGACCACGTCGACGAACTCGGGCGCGTGCCCGTGGTTCTTCAGGCACAGCTCGAACTGCCCCGCGCGCTCCACGCGCAGGTCGAACTGCGCCTCGCTGCGCCCGCGCGCCGTGTACACCTCGATGCCGCGCGGATCCTTGATCTGCGCGGGGGAGGTGCGTGGGGAATGGGAAATATGGGGAACGGGGGGAGGGGAGGGAGGGGGAGGGGGGAGGAAAAGCGGGAGAGAGGAAAGCGGGGGAGGGATGGGGAGGGAGTACGCGAAAGTCGAGGATTCTTCTTTCACAGCAGCAGCAATCGAGGGAGGGTGGCTGGCACCGCATGATACGGAAGCGCGACTCCGAAACTGTTAATTGCAAATTTTGAAAGCAACAAAACTGGACGCGTGAACCAAAACCAAAAAATACGAGCTTTTTCACGTCAACATTCGCGGCGTTTCCGGCTCACGGTGACGTCCAGCCGAGCGGCGTAGTCGCGGAACGATCCGTGATGGTCGAATACGACGACGCTGCCGGTGAGCATGCCGTGGTTGGATTCCGTCGATAGCCATATGCACTCGCGATCTCCCGAGTGAATCGTCAGTCGCATCGCGAACGATAAGCGTGGCGCCGCGGCTAGAATGGTCATCAAGAGCGTCGCCAGCGCTAAAAGCGCACCGCGACCCATCATCGCTATGGCCCGCGAAATGCTTTCTGATTCTTATCGATCTTGACGAGGAAGCGGGTAGCCACCAGAACGAAAGGAAATTTTAAGGGTAATAGAGCTTCTAGTTGGTCGAAATGGAGTAATTGTGAGACTTCCAATTATTAGTACCCGTTGAGGGAGGCGCCGGCTTGTTCTGCGTGGTGGTTGATAGGAGATTACGTCTCCTAAAGTGGGATGCATTATACCGTACAAACAGAGCACTCATCCCTATTCTTCTCACAACTTATAGAATTGAATTCAGTATGCAGATGTACCATTTCACTCAAATGTCGGCGTTGTTTCAATATCACAATATATTGTGAAGCAAAACGATGCCAAAATTTGAGTGAAATAAAACGGGGCTCAGTTGTATCATCCAATGTGTTATGAGCTGTAAATGAAGAGGTTGCGTGGAATTCAATAACAGAGTTGTGATGACAACCACTGCGCAAACAATAAAGCCCAGAAATGACATAGGGAACAGGGCCTTGTCAAGAATGAAAGTGTTGGTTTGACTAGCGTTGGTTGGGGTACATAAACCTAAATCTAACAGTTGTACCCCCTATAACACGCATCACTAAGACTACAACATTCGACACACCACCATAGTCTAAGTGAGGGGTGTCAAGAGAAACCAAAACTGTGGTCACAAGCAGGGCTGATTTTATCAGGGTAATTACCCTGATTTCAGGGTGATTTCAGACTTGTCACTTTCTGGTCCCTGAGAAATCAGGTTTTTCACATTTTGGTCCCTGATCCATTCAGAGTATTGCTTTAGCGGACCCTGAAATTTTGTGTACACTCTCAGTGTAGGGTTTTCACGGACTCTGTCAATACAGAGTACGCGGCCTGTGGACCCTGAATGCGATGTTATCAGGACGAAATTTCTCGGAAATTTCCTCCTGATAACCCCGCCTTCAGATTGATTTCAGCACCCCACACGTGCGTAATCCCCCCCCCCCCCCCCCCCCCCCCCCCTCGCTTTATTGGGACGAAGTTTCTTCGAATTTT